AAAGGCGAACAATAAAAAGCAAAGCGCTGAAGGACTGACCTCGGCCTTGGCCATGGCGGCGGCGGGGTGGGGGGGAGGAAAAGGAAGGGAAAGGGAGGGGAAAAGGCGGCAGCGGCGGCGGCGGCGGCGGCGCTCGCGCGATGCTCCCTCGGCGAGGGCCGACTCGGCAAAGGGGCCGAGCGGGGGCAGCGCCGCCGCCTCACTCGGCCGCCCCCGCCGCGCGCCCCGCCCACCGCGCCCGCTCCTATTGGCCGGCGCCGCGCTCTGCCTCGCTCTGATTGGTCAAAGAGAGGCGCCGCGAGAGTCTATTGGTCAAAGAGGGGTTAAGTCCCGCCTGCGCCCCACTCTGATAGGCTGAGAGCTTGAAGGGCACGCCCCTCGCTGGTTTTCCCGCTCCGGCCCGGAGACTCCGCTGAGAGGGTGCTGATTGGTTGGTGTGGTGGAGGGCCCGCCCCGCGCCCGGCGCTGATTGGGAGAAGATGAGGCGGTGCGGCGCTGATTGTAGGAGGGAGGTGTCCATCAGCGCGGGCCCAGCGCGGCTCCCCGAGCGCGGCGGGAGCAGCAGCGGCGGCGGCGGCCGCGAGTCCCCCCCGGCGGCGGCGGCGAGGAGGGGCCGCCCGCCCGCCGCCACACAAGGTGCGCCTGGGTCATCGGACGCGGGTTGGGCAGTGTGTGTGTGTGTGGGGAGGGGGGGGGAATAGTGGGGGTACGCATGCGCCGGAGAGCGGCCCGGCGGCGCCTGCGCGCTGCGGGCGGTTTTTGGCGGGCGGAGCGCGGAGAGCGGCGGCGGCTCCGCGCAGAGGGGCGGCCAAACCGCGGCGGACGGGCCTGCGCCGGAGCCGCTCCCCGCGCAGGTACCGGCGGCGGCGGCGGCGGGTGAATGGGCGGCAGCGCGGGGGGGGGGGCGGGGCCCGGCGTACTGAGCGACAGGCGGGTCGACCAATAGCGGCTGGGGAGTGGCGGGGCTGCGCGTTGAGTGACGGTGTCTGCCACCAATAGCCATGCAAGGAGGGCGGGGCGACTCACTGAGTGACAGCTGTGCTGACCAATAGCGATGAGGCGGGGCTGTGGCGAGCGGCGGCGGGCTCGACCAATCAGCGCGGGGGCGCGCGGGGGCACTGGCCAATGGCGGGCGGGGGCGCGCTCCTGGCCCCGCCCACTCCCTCAACCCCCCCCTTCTCGCCCCCCCCACTTTTATATCCCTTAAATCGCCGCTTTTTGCCCTAAAATCGAGGGGGTTTCCCTCATTAAAGCGGCTTTTCCCCTCCAAACAGCGCTTCTCCTCCCCAAACCGTCCGGTTCTGCCCCAAACCGGCATTTTTTTCCCTCAGACCGGCTGGTTTTACCTCAAAACTGATTTTTCCTCTCTTAACACCCGGGCTTTACCCCAAACCGCCGGTTTTCCGCCTCAAACCGATGCGTTTTGCCTCAGCACTAATCAGCCTCAAAGCTGCCTTTTTTTTTTTTTTTTCGCCCCAAACCCGCCTTTTTTCTTTTTTTTTTTTTTTTTTCGCCTCCGGTTTTTCGGCCTCCAAGCGGCGCTTTTGGGCTCCGAGCGGCTCCTTCCCTTTGTTCCCTCAGGATTCCCGGGCGCGGGATCCGGGATGAGGCGCCCGGGGCCCTTCCCGCCCAAACCCCGCCCTTGTACACCCCAAATCCTCATTTTCACACCCCAAAAGCCGCCTTTTCACACCCAAAATCTGCCTTTCACACCCAAAATCCTCCTTTCACACCCAAAATCCGCCTTTTAACACCCTAAACTCCTTTTCCACCCCAAAAATCCGCCTTTTTGCGCCCAAAATCTGCTTCTTAAGCACAAAACCTGCATTTTTACACCCAAAACTGCACCTTTTTACACTGTGCCTGCAGGAGTCCCATTTAGGGTCCCAGGTGCACCTTTTGGGGTCCCAGATGCCCATTTAGGGGTCCCAGTCCCCCCTTTTGGGGTTCCAGTCCCCGTTTAGGGTCCCAGTCCCCCCTTTTGGGGACCCAGATGCCCATTTAGGGGTCCCAGTCCCCCCTTTTGGGGACCCAGATGCCCATTTAGGGGTCCCAGTCCCCCCTTCTGGGGACCCAGATGCCTATTTAGGGTCCCAGTCCCTCCTTTTGGAGTCCCATGAGCCCCCTGTGCCTGCAGGAGCCCCATTTAGGGTCCCAGGTGCCCCTTTTGGGGTCCCAGATGCCCATTTAGGCGTCCCAGGTACCCCTTTTGGGGTCCCAGCCCCCCCTTTTGGGGTCTCAGGTTCCCCCTGTGCCCGCAGGAGCCCCATTTAGGGTCCCAGTAGCCCCGTTTGGTGTCCCAGGTGCTCATTTGGGGGTCCCAGATGCCCATTTAGGGGTCCCAGTCCCCCCTTTTGGGGTTCCAGTCCCCGTTTAGGGTCCCAGTCCCCCCTTCTGGGGACCCAGATGCCCATTTAGGGTCCCAGTCCCTCCTTTTGGAGTCCCATGAGCCCCCTGTGCCTGCAGGAGCCCCATTTAGGGTCCCAGTAGCCCCGTTTGGTGTCCCAGGTGCTCATTTGGGGGTCCCAGATGCCCATTTAGGGTCCCAGTCCCCATTTTTTGGGTCCCAGATGCCCATTTAGGGTCTCAGTGCCTGTTTTTGGGGTCCCCCGTGCCCGCAGGAGCCGCGGGCGCTGCGCTATGGGCAGGAGGAGCCGGCGGGCAGCCGACAGCTCGTCCTCGGCAGACGAGGAGGAATATGTGGTGGAGAAGGTGCTGGATCGGCGCGTGGTGAGGGGCCAGGCCGAGTACCTGCTCAAGTGGAAGGGCTTCTCCGAGTGAGTCACACCTGGGGGGGACACCTGGGGACACACCTGGGGACAGCAGGGGATGGGGGGGACACGGCAATTAGGGTGAGGGGCTGCTCCAGTGGAAGGGTTTGTTCGAGCGAGTGACACTTGGGGGACACACCTGGGGACATGGGGACACCCCGGTGACCCCAGTGTGTGCCAGGGGACACAGGGACACTTTGTACCCCCAAAGTAACCCTTGGGTGACCCTGTCCTGTGTTAGGGGACACTGGGTGAAGGACACAAGGGACCGCTTGTTAACCCTGCCAGGGGACATGGGGACACTGAGGTGACCCCAGTGTGTGGCAGGGGACGCTGGGTGGGGGGACACTGAGGTGACCCTGCCCTGTGCCAGGGGATATGGGGACACCACGGTGACCCCAGCGTGTGCCAGGGGACACGGGGTGGGGGACACAGGGACACTTGGTGTCCCCAAAGTGACCCTTGGGTGACCCTGCCCTGTGCCAGGGGACCCCGGGTGGGGGACACAGGGACGTTTGGGTGCCCCCTGAATGCCCCCCTGCCCCCCCGACAGGGAACACAACACGTGGGAGCCCGAGAAGAACCTGGACTGCCCCGAGCTGATCTCGCAGTTCCTGCGCAAGGACCGCAGGATGAGGGACGGGGACAGCGGGACACGGCCCCGGGAACGCCCCGAGGGCGCCAAGAGGAAGGGGCTGCCCGGGAACGGCAACGGCAGCGACGACGGCCGGGCCAAGAAGAAGAGGGAGGTGAGGAGGGGACGTGGAGGGGGGGATGTGGGATGGGATGGGGACACAGGGATGGGGATATGGGGTTGGGGATATGGGATGGGGACACAGGGATGGGGATATGGGATGGGAATACAGGCATGGAATGGGGATATGGGGATGGGGACATGGGGATGGGGATATGGGATGGGAATACAGGGATGGGATGGGGACACAGGGATGGGGATAT